AAAACTAAATTATAAAAATACTTAACTTATTATTAAGAACTAAATTAAGTTGTAAAAGCGCAAATTAATTTCCAATAACAATTAACGCACAATTAAGTAATAATTAAGCAATAAAATTGTATATTTGGTCATTAAATGCTAAAAATGCAAACGATGCCTATTTTTGTATTTTTTTTTAAAACAAACTTAGTTACTAACAATTGTATAATTAAATCCTACATGCGAAATGCGACATATTTTGTATTTTTAATAATTTAGCAAATAAACATGCATAGACAAACATACAAATAGTTACACAAAATATCACAAAAATTGCACATCAAGAAAAATTATTTTATTTTTTGAATTTTTTGGGAGTAATTCTCATATTGGGCAAAAATCACGTGCTTACAATGACATATCCAAGTGAATGAAGCTCATTTATGGTGAAGGTGAATCTTGTGTGCATATCTTGTATAGACTCATCATCCTTCATCCTAAAGAGCTCATATTCCATGATGAGCATGTCGATCTTAGATTGTTTGACCTGAATAGTTCCTTCGTGTGCTGTTTGCAACGCTTCCCGTATTTCTTTGGCAGTGTCACAAGCTAAGATTCTGTTGTACTCACCAGGTCCTATGCCACACATCAAGATTTTCTTGGCACGATAGTTCTTTTCTACAACTTTTCTGTCAATGTCGTTGTACTCTTTTCTACCTTTCAGCACCATTGGTCCTGTTTCTTCAAGCTTCTTCATGGGGACATAGGGACCGTCACAAATGATATCCCACAGTTCTGAGTCTTCTGCCATCATAAAATCATGCATGTGAGTCTTCTACCAGCTATAGTACTGACCATTGAATCTGGGAGGTTTGTAGGTTGATTGTCCTTCCTCAAAGTTGGGTGGAGCAGCCATTGAGATCCTTTCTAAGTGTTAACCTTTAGAAAGAACCTGCTCTGATACCAATGTTTATATGTGTCCACCAAATTATGGAGTACCTGGTCCTATGTGAGATGATGCTGAGAATGCTATAGAGACTAAAAGTAAAGAAGACAAGGGATTTTTACGTGGAAAAATCCCACACAAGGGGATCAAAACACCACGACCTACTCTTGTAGGCTTGAACTTCACTAACTTGCAATCTCCCTATTACAAGCCACTTTGCAATAACCCTATTACAAAGACTTCAACTTGTGATGCACCCACCACAAGCCACTTTATAACTCTCCTAGTTACAAAGGCTTTAGACTTATGACTATTCCTAGTCACAACATAAACTCTGAAGTTTACGGATTTTTGGTTTGTTCCTAAGACAAAGCTTCCAAGAAAGCAAACTAGGAAATACAATAAAGAACAAATAACATGATTACAACTCAACTACGGATGAACATGGACTCATTAAGAAACTGATCCTTAGTGGAGTTGTTTTCTTGTTCTTGACACACCAGTGACTTCAATACCGGATAAACACTGTTATGTTTGAGAGAATATCACTGAATGCACAAAGATATTGTGCCTTGCACTAGGTTGTTATATCACAAAAGACATTACAATGGATAGTGGTGTCAATTCTTGATACACGCTTCTTCCTAATGAGAAGTGACTACTGTACTGTTTGCACAACCACTTTTGTGTAGTTGTGTTCTAGCTGGATAGTCGACTTGTACTTCTGTTAGAGAACACTATCGGACCAGATCCTAATTGTGTTCCTCTTCTATAATAGTTGCGAGACGGTCCCTGTTGTGTTCCTCTTTATAATGATTGCGGACAGTCACTGACTTGTACTTGTGTCGGAGAACCCTAAGGGACCAGGTCACTAGGTCCCTATTGTGTTCCTCCCTGTGGTCGTTTATTTATTTGCTGATTTTTAGACTTGAACCAGGTCAGTTGAAATGTATACCATGTGGGCCAGGTTCTCTATCTGGTTTTTCACAACAAGTTTGTTAGATAATCAAAACATAAGAAGCATAAGGCAAAGGCATTAAAACCCCCATTACTTGACATCAGGAGCTTGGTACTCTTAGGTCTCATTTGTTTTTTTAAAGATTAAGACATCTGAATCTGAATGCACATCTGAATATCAAGATGTGTATTAAGATAAAGACATCTGAATCTGAATACATATCTGAATATATTAAGATGTGTATTAAGATCTGAATAGAAATAATTAAGATTGTTTGATTCTTAATATTTGAATGCATAAAATTTATCTTTATTTGAAAATTAATAAACATAAAATTCAAATAAAATACTAGCTAGTCTAATATTCTATCAATAAACTATATAGTTTTTTAAAATATGATAGGGGCTAACGGGTGAATGCCGACTAGAGACGGTGGTTGGTGGTAGTTTTAGTTGATGATGGTGGTTCATGCTAGTAGCTAGTAGTGACTGGTAGTGGTGTCGATTATGATTGAGGATAATGGTGGTGGGTGGTGATAGTTAATAATGTCGGGTGGTGGTAGTAGTTGTGACAGAGAAAGGTGGTTGGTGGGTGGCGGTAGGTTACAATAATGGACAGTGTCGGCTGTGGTTGTTGAGGGTGATGTGGTGGTTAGCTGTATTAGTTGAGGTGGATAACTGTGATTGTGGGTGACAATGATATATGGTGATCGGAGTGGTGGGGATGTTGGGTGGTGATGGTCGATAATGGTAATGGCTATGATTGAGGATGATGGTGACGTGGTGGTAGTTGAAGTGGTGGTGGTGGCATGACGGTAGTTGATATTGGTGGCGACAGTTAATAATGAATATGTGATAGCATCTTAATGAAATTAAGTTTTTGTTATAGATCTTAATCATACAGACCTATTCAGACTCATTAAGTGGTTGTGAAGTAGAAAAAATAAATACATTTAATGATTAAGATCTGATTAATTAAGATTCAAACTTTAAAAACAAACACACTTAATGTCTGACATTTGAATGATTAAGATTCAGACCTTCATTAAGTGCAAACAAATAAGACCTTAGTAGCATTAAATATTTTTTGGTCAATTCTGGTTGTTTTTTGATTAGTTTTTTTATGAGCTAACGGATGCAAATATTAAACTTGGTTAAATAAAAATTTGATAGTTTAACCCCCCCAAAAAAAGAAAGGCAAGAAAATATCTCGCAATAACAAAAGTCACGCGTGCACCCACTGCGTCCCCTTCGTTACATTACTTTTTCGTCTCTCCACATCCATACATCCTTCTAGGGTTCTGCCGAATCTCCCCCGACCCCTGCCTCTCTTAATCCGCCCCCATCTTCACCACGATGCAACCAGCAAATTCCATGGTTCCACCACCACAACAGTACCAGCAGCAGACACAGCAGTGGATGACTCAGCAGCCGCTGCAGTATCAGGTTCCGACGCCTCAGCAGCAATCTGGATATTATTACCAGCAACCGCCGCAGCAGGGCGGAGTTCCTCAACCTCAACAACAACAGCCTCAGTATAACGCCTCCGGTTCTGTTCAGCCGACTACTGCTGATGAGATCCGAAGCCTTTGGATCGGAGATCTTCAGTTTTGGATGGACGAACAGTACCTCCTCAACTGCTTCGCACAAACTGGGGAGGTATGCCTCGTATACCAACAATCGAATTTTTCTCCTTTTTATTGTTTTACCGTACGTTGTGATATAGATTTTTGCTGAATTTTGGATTCATAGTAATTGTTGTTTCATGGAATTTCTCGTTTTTGCTTTAAATTTAAGAGGCTTTATGTGGAAGATTTGATCTTTGTTATCTTCCGAGAGATTTTCAAGTGTTTGCTACATTCAGATATGAATATTTACTGAATGTTTATTTGTGAAATGTGAATATGATGGTGTTTGTATTTCCCAACATAACGGTGTATGTTGTGTTCACACTATTTTGTTGTTGAGCATGTGATTGTATTATTGCACTCCCTTTCACTTATTTGGTGTATTTTAAGATATTATTATTACTTCTCCTGCTTCTTTTGTTGTTACAGATCTTTTCTTTTGTTTCTTTTCTGAAATTATTATCTCTTTCTGGTGAGCCGATTGTCTCCCGGAAATATCCTACCCTTCCCAGACCCCACTAGTGTGATTTTACTGATATGTTGTTGTTGTTGATGATGGTGTTTGTATTTAGTAATTCTGTTGGGAAAAGTTACGTTACTATGCTATAGTTTGTAATCAGTGACTTTTGGGTTAGATTGTTGGTGAAAGGTATGTGAATAAGCTGTAATTCGTATTCAGTAACTCCTCTTACATCTATTCCTATACTATAAATAGGAATAACCAGGTAGGTCATGGTCAACATGTCTGCCTGGCCATCACGAGGTTAATTTAGTCATTAGCTTGTAGTCCTGCTTTAATCATTTGTCCTTCTCGCGCTGGAGGTGTATATCCTAGCGCAGACTGTAATGGATGAAAATGCCAGGTTCCGCCTACTTTGTAACATTTAACTTTTACAAAGATTTGTTTTGCCCTTACTTTATCTCCTTATTACTCATCTTTGTTTCTTAGTTTTCCGTAAATCCTTTGTACTTTAAGCCCTCTTTGGTAAATTGCTTTGCATCAGTTTTGAAATGGTCATTATCGTGGTGGGACCCATCTGAAATTTCACAGACATTTGAATAGTAGCACTCGGTCTTATCTTTCTAATAAAATTCCACACGATCTTCTCAATAACAAAATTAGTTTAAGGCCATAGACTTCTCCTGTCTAACTACCTTTATCTAGCTTATTAGAAGTCATTATATGATATAGAGCAAAGGAAATGAAAACCATAAAGAAAATAAAATAAAAATAAAGGAATACGAAGGAAAATTACTCAAAGGTCAACTTCAACACTGATATTCATGGGTCCTTATTAAATTCAGGGTCAGTTGAATTTTTTCGCTATTTACAAACTTATTTTTAGTTTTATGTCCCTACCTCTTTTTCTTTATATATTGGAGATTTATTTTTACACATAATAAATATGTCTTATACACATAAAAGATTTTAAAAAATTATTTTCTTAAATTTAAAATTGTAAAGGGATATGATGACAAATAACACTTAAATTCATATAATGTAAAATGCAAAACTAAATTGGAAGTCTTGTATTTTAATGCATGAGCTTGCACGTTGATTTCTAAATCTCAAATCATATTTTAAATTTTTGGCTTTTCAATTTAAATTACATGCAATGATAGTATAAAAATTGTTTACATCATGAGTATATTTTAATCTTATAACTGTTTGTCTGAAGTATTATTTATTAAAAATAGAGTTATATGTAACTTCCCTTTAAGCTATTTGATTGTATATATATTTTATTACATTGTCAATACATAAAATTTAAACTCTTAAATTTTCAATATATGGACGCCCAATACAACGAATAATTTTTGGCTAAAGAGATAAATGTAAAAGAATTCGAAAAGCTTAAAAAATCTTTTATGTAAATCCTATTTTGAAGATTTTGAAGTTTGATATAAGAACAAATTCATAATGCACTAATAGTTATTTTATATTAACGGACAAATTTTTCAGTTTTTCAGTACACATGAATTAGCATAATTATAATAGTTTTATTTATTCTAATATTGTCCAATGAGGCAATTACTTTAGTGTCATGATGGCCATTTTTACTTTGTCAGTATAAACCTTTTATAAGACAAAATAAGCCTGTTTGTTAGTAATACTTTTGCATTTGGTCTATCGGCACAAAAAAACTTTAAAAAGTAAATTCTTCAATATTTATCAAATAGCGATGTATTAACTATGAACTTGGCGATAATATTTTTTGGAAGATTTACATATATAGGTTTTTTTTGTCACTATTTAAGCTTTGATCCGCCTAATTAGGCTATTTAAAAATAACTTTCGCATCGAAAAATGAAGTTCAATTCCTAGATGATCGCAAGAAGACTTACCTTGCCACAACTCAAACACGAATTACTAAATTTCTAATGGATGGAATTGCTATAACCTATAAGTCCTTGCGCATCATTAGGAGTTCCATATAAAATGTATCGTAGCTTCAAAGTAAATAGTTCATATATTCTGACACATCATCAAGAGTTTTTAAGAAACTTCACGAAGAAATTATTTCTTCAGAATAGGTTCAAATAACTTTAAATTTTGTATCTAATATTCTTACACCAATAGACTTAATAAAATCTCTTTGCTCTTCAACAATCAATCCAACAAAACTCAATAATGTTATTTTTTCAATTTTAACCAAACCAATTCAAATCAATCACAAATAAGAAGGAGAAGAAAGCGGGGTGGGGTGGGGGTGGGGGAGCAAGTTCTAACGAATTTCCATAAGGGGTATATCTCACGAGCAACAAATTAAATGACAATAATGATCTCTGAATAAATTAACTATTTACCGCAAAGACAAACAAAACAAAAAAGATGATTATAAAGAAATTCTCGCATATGAAATATCTTGGGCCCATGCTTAGCATGGGCCGTCTTTTACTAGTTGTTGGTAGAAGGTATGCGAGTGCACTGTAGTTTATATGCAGTGACTTCTATTAGTTTGTTGTTAAAAGGTATGTGAATTTGCTGTTGTTTGTATTTAAACTTGTGTTACATTGTTGGTATGCAGTGTGTGAATATTCTGTTGGTTCTACGTAGTAACTTGTGTTATGTTGTTGGTAAAAGGCGTGAGAATATGCCTTATAAAAGGGCATGTTTGTGCAAGTAAATTGAATTTGCTTGTTGGTAAAAGTATGTGAATATGCTATAGTGTGTATTCAGTAAATTGTATCACCTTGTTGCTAAAAGTTCGTGAATATTCTGTTGTTGTCTTCAGTAATTTGTATTAGAATGTTGGTAAAAGGTATGTGAGTCTGCTGTAGTTTGTAGTCCTGATCTTGTACTAGCTTGTTGGTAAAGGGTATGCGACTATGCTGTTATTTGTATTCTGTAACTTGTTTAATTTTGTTGTCAATGGAAGGTGTTAAGGTTAACCATATCTAGACAAGTAAGGTAAGCCTAGCGGAAAAGTACTTTCCACCTTCAGCCAAGAGGCTGGGATTCAAATTACAAAAGGAGCAAAGTGGGAAAAGGGCCAGTATTGACTCTTTGACAGGGTTGTTAGAGTTATCTTTTTAAATAAATGATAGCTAAGTTTTAATTAGTTTGTCGAAGTGGCTTGGGATTATCTTTTGGAACTATCAGCTGCTGTCTAATGGTTGCTTTTTATCTTCTAATTAAGTTGTTCTTCAGTTGAGATTCCTTTGATGTGTTACAGGGGTAAAAAATTGGATAGTAATTTTTAACCTTATAATTGGTGGCTATACCTGCTGATACCTGCCTCTTTTGACTATGGGCCTCTTTTGACTATGGGTATTGACACTGGAAAGGATTAAGCTGAATGCGTTTTCACTACATCTGGCATATTGCAAGAAGGGGCCTAATAATCCATAAATAACCTTATCATAAAAGTAAATCCATGTGTAATCCATACACAACCTTACCAGAAAAAGTAAATCTATGTGCATTCCATAAACAACCTTATCAAAAAAGTAAATCCATGTGCAATTTGTTTATGCTTACCGATTGTGTGATGGTTGAATTTAGATGCATGCTTGTGTGAGTAGACAAAATAAACACATGCGCTCTTTCCCCCTCTCTATTTATTTTTTTCTTGCCTCTTATACTGTATGAGCAGTAGTGTTACTATTAACAGTCTTCTTTCCCGTTCACTTTTTAGGTTTTTTTTAGAGAATATTAACTGCTTGTCTCTTGCGTAGGTGGTCAATGCTAAAGTTATCCGTAACAAGCAAACTGGACAGTCAGAGGGTTATGGCTTTATTGAGTTTAATAGTCATGCTGCCGCAGAGAGGAATCTGCTAGCATATAATGGGACCTTGATGCCTAATATTGAGCAAAATTTTAGACTTAACTGGGCATCTCTTGGCTCCGGTGAAAGACGTTCCGATAATGCTCCTGAATATACAATATTTGTTGGTGACTTGGCAGCTGATGTCACTGATTACATGCTCCAGGAGACATTTAGGGTTAACTATCCTTCGGTGAGGGGTGCTAAGGTTGTAACAGATAGGGCCACAGGGCGCACCAAAGGTTATGGTTTTGTTAAATTTGGGGATGAAAGTGAGCAGTTACGTGCTATGACAGAGATGAATGGACAGTTTTGCTCGACCAGGCCCATGCGGATTGGTCCTGCAGCTAACAAGAAGGGTATGGGTGGTCAGAGTCAAGGTATGTCTCAACCCAGTTGGTACTTGTACTGCTTTATGTGGTAATCTTTTACAGCAGTTAAGCGAAATGTATCCAGCTTGCAGCTTGATTGCTTGCTTCACTTGGCTTGTAGATTTTGGATCTTTTGTTTTTTGTTTAGTTGCCATAAAGTCCTTCAATGGTCAAGTTTTGATAGTTTGAGGATGCTGTTGCTTTATTTTGGGCGGAGCTGATGTCTATTTTTGTTTTGCTCGGCCATATGGGTGTCATTACGTTTCCTTTCATTCCGATTATGCTCTTGAATTATTGATGAGTACCCAGCTATCCACATCATTTCGTTCCAGTTGTTTAAAACTTCCCCTTGAAATATTAAATCTCATAAAACTCCGCTTGTCTCCAAGCAGGATGAATGGGAGGCTCTATGATTTAAGGGCCTGGATGCTTGTTTCAGCTGAAATGAATACCATTTAGAACGTGGTTTGGCGTAAGTCAGTTCATTTAAATGTCGTTAAATATCGTTATGTCGGATCCTCGTAACTTCTTATTTTTATTTTGCAACTTTTCCATTACGCCGCACTCCTTCCGTCAGATTATTTTTCTTTACTTTTCAGCCATTTTGCTATCTTTACTTTTCAGCCTTTACTTTTCAGCCATTTCACTTTATCTTTACATTTCCACCATTTTATTAACTTCAATATCTTGTTAGCCTGCCTGAAGTTGAACTTAATCTTCATTATTCCTTTACGCTTTTTGGTAGTTTCATTCATTGATTTAGTTCCTAGCCCTGGATTCATCTCTTAAGTCTGCTTCATTTATCTCATGAACTTGTTCAGTAAATCCCCTTTACAGGGGCGAGAACTTTCCTGCCACCATTACAATCTTATGCTGCCATCATATGTTTCTGTTTGGTACAGGATCTGGTACTCATGCTTTCTTTATGTGACACTATTACTAGTTGAAGGAGTTAAACCCTTTTTTCTTTGACTACGATTTTTTATTATTTAAATTATCTTGAATTATCAACCATTGTGGCTTGTAATAATTTTGTATCGCTCAAGAATCTGTAAATTTTATTTCAAAAACTTAAAGAATCGATGCCCAAATTCATGCTAAAACTAGGTCCTTTGACTCTGTATATTCCGAGCCTCTTCACATGAATGGGACAGAGGGGTTATAGTTATTTTTAGCTGACAGCTCTATGTACAGTTACTTGGGTAGTATTTCTCTTTTTGAAGGTTTATTTTGATAAAATTTCGCCACTAATATTCTGAATATTTATCTCATGGAGAGTTTAAATAAGATGATAATGAGGTTGGTTTTAGGGATTCTTTCGCTATGATCTCTTGACTGACGTGAATTGTCTTATGATTGGATTTCAGAATATTGCACTTGAATAGTGCTTTAGATTCTAAATTTAATTGGTTTTGATTTTACTAAAAATGAGTATAGGATAGAGATTGCTTGGAGCCCCCCTCCCCCTCCACCCCGAATACGGAACCAAAGTGTTGCAAAATTGGACTCAAAACACCAAAATAGGTGAAAAAACACTTGAGAGCATTTTTATATATAGCGTATGGATTTCATGCGCTATACCTTAATGACAAGTTTCTCCGTTAAGGTATAGCGCATGTAATTCATGCGCTATGCCTTAGTTTGAAAAGGCGGTCAAAGACTTAGTATAGCGCATCAATACATGCGCTATACCTTAATGTGAAAAGACAATTAGGTATAACGCATGTAATTCATGAGCTATGCCCATTTAATTAAACCAGTCTTCTTCCCCGACAGAACTCCCCCCCCCCC